TCCTCGCGTTTAGAATAGCATAGTAATAAATAAGTTGTAAAATCAGATAGCTTATAACTGTGGATTTATACTTTAAGGTATATCTAGGTTTACTAGATCATACTTTATGCTCAACTCATTAGTTAGGCGATAAAGTTATTGGTGACTTGCGTGATTTGAACCAAGGACCTCGTGAACCGAACGTGTCGTAACACTTCGGCCCAAGTAACACTTCGGCCCAGTAACATTTCGACCCGAAACCCTCAGATGTGGCCTACGGTCCAACTCTCTACCTGCCCACTAGTAACACTTCGTCCCAACAAAATATTTGACAGGTTAGTTTAGGTTAGGTAAGATTCCACCGATTCTCCGTCATGTGAGGTCAGAGGATGCAAGGGGAGACGGTTGGGCGACATTCCACCAGAGGGTGGTTGCAAAGTATACAGGTCATGTACCTCTTACTACCTGAACTGCGTTCCTCAACCCTTGTCAATTTTTCGTCGGGCCGAAATGTTACTCCATTAGCTTATTTGATCATCTGTAAAAGCGAGAGGGACGAAGTGATACTGTTTTTCTAAGAAATTTGAGTTTGGCCGAAATGTTACTGGGCCGAAGTGTTACTACATCGAACCGAAGACCCACGCCAGCCATTAGATCAGATCTCCGCAGTCCGGCCATTAGATCAGATCTCCGCAGTCCACATAGCTATCAGTAGAAAGTAAAAAAACAACAATTTCAGACACTCAATTTTGGAATTGTTCTCTATTTCAATCAAAAATATTATGGTCGTTTATAAACTTTCAACATCTGTAAATTTTCCAAAAAGTAACAGGAACTACTTTCCCTCTTAAGCATTCCTCTACTTGATGAAGCGTAACATACTTGGGACATACTCAATCGGAATTCTACCGGTCTAGTATCAAAACATCACGAAGCAAGGCGCTACTTGGCTCTTTGAACCTGAGCCAAGATATCCATCCAAAGTCCAATAACATAAACTGTACCTGTGCTGTTGGCTACAGTACACTACACACTGTACTAGGAGCCAGGACTCACTCAAGAAGTAGGAATTGTTCTACTTAAAATGATCTAGATATTGTAGTTGCAATGAAAATAAGGCTTGAGATTAATAAGTTTTCAACTTCTGTTTTATTTCCACAGTTTGTTTGAATGGAAAGGAAGAGAAAATGTCAAAAGATCTAAAAAAAAGTGAGGAAATATTGAACTAGTATTTAAAAACTCTTTCAATATTAGTATTAAAAATGTTAAGAGTGAGTAAATAAAATGTTAGTTTTTCGTGTATTTTTATGGGCTACAGATAAACAAAAATATTAGTTTTTGCTTAAGAGATTACAAATCTGTCAGCATCCGTGTTGACCTTAGAGCAATTAGTAACTAAATAATCCATTTTCAGGTTTATAATAAACTAAAAAGCTTTGATTGTATGAACTATTGAACCGTGCTTAAATCTGTTGTTATTCATGCAGTTAAGCTATAGTCTATTACAGTATGGCTTTAACTTCCTAAAAAAAATCATCATCAGTACAGCAACGGTTTTTAAATTTCGATTAAAAAAGGTGTAGAATCTCATTCAATAAAATACATTATTAAAAAATCATAATTATAATACAATATTAAAAATACATTCCACAATCAATTTTGATAAAAAAATGGTTAAGTTTCTGAAAATCGTTAAGCATACTAAATTATCTAAATTGTTTTGCCTTATAAAAACTGGTTCTTTTTGAGATCCACTCCTAAATTAGTCTAGTTTCGCACACCACCAAATTACTATTCGATTCAACATGCTGTCTCTTTAGAAAGGACTTAATTGGACAAACGGCTCTATCAGATTCCATCAGACACACAGAAAGTCTCGACTAAAAGTTACATCTGGAGGCCGTCGTAAAGTTGAATGTCGCGATTGTTGTCCAGATACCCGCCATTCTGCGCCCAGCTGGCCCAAATATACACACAATCTCCCGCCAAAACGCCCGCGGCCGCCGTTGATGGGATGCTGTGCGATATTTACTCGCGGTTTATATGTTTGCTCGACTCTAAACGCATTAATTGGTGGCTTTGGGCGAATAGCGGTCTTGTAAGTGAGTCGTTATTGGTCAAGTGTTAGATTGTGCGTTTGTGTCTGTGTGCGAGTGTAATACAATTGTAGGGAAGTAAGACTTGTATACCACGACAGGCCTATACGCAGTGTGTTTCTAACATACAATAACTTTTAGCAATGAAACCCTTAATTTTTTAGGTATTATTGCGCGCACCTTTTCTCGAATTGTCACAAGTAAAATGTCATACTAAAGAGAGAAAGAATCCCTTCATCACAAAGATTCAGCAAAATATAGAAAATCACAATAAGAAAGCCACACAAGAAAAGTATTTTTGTTGCAGCAAGACAAAAACTTGAAAGAAAACTATATGAGTACATTTGGTAAGTAGATATGTACAAATTGTACAGTCATCGACTTTCGTTCCGCGTGTTAACAACTAACTGTATCAGTAATAAAACGAGTTTTGTTTTAATTTTCTAAATCCTAAGAGTAATCTTATAGGTCTATAATTTCCAATGGTTTACCTGTTGCAGACTAGGTCAACTTGTTTAAGTGAAGTCCACTCCACTGTTGACTGAGCACGTACATCGTATCTGGTCTGGACGTGCCAGGTCCGATCTGTCAGACGGAGACACATATAATCACGTAGTACAATACCTACACTAGGTACTCTGTGGCAGCACGTAGCACGTTCCATCACGTCGCCACAGTCGGTATAGCTGTTACGCGCCGCACAGTCTCCCACATATCCTGTTATCTTGTTGCTTTCCATGTAACGATATGTGTACACTAGCAATGTGGTAAGTTAACAACTCAATTTCAACGGGTGTGGTAAATTAAGTTAAACGAAAAATTTATTTGAACAGTACATCTATCTATCTATAATATTAAAACGAAACAGTGTTTTTTTATTTCACGATTCTGAATCAACCACTCGACGGATTTTCATGATTTTTGTGTTGAAAGAAAGATAATTTTGAGAACTAGGGAATGTCGAAGCCATAAATTTAGTTTAGGGTCCCAGTTTTTTAGAAATTAAGTTTTAATTTTTAAAAAGTCTAGCAGCCGACGCTAAGATTCTAAACTAGCTTTTGGCATAAAATAATTTGCTTAACATAACAGCTGTAAACATTCAGCTTTTGTGTCACAAATTCAGGATTTGGATAAAAATGTAAAGACATACTTAGAGTTGACTTATTTATACTATGTGTAATGGAAATCATTGATAGTTCAATTCTTCTGTAAGAGGATGACAGATTAATTAAATTATACATAGTAAAATACTAGGATGTGTTCAAATTATTTTTTTAAAGCAATCTTTGTAATCTTCGGTTGGTTTTAGAGCAATATAATTTGTTTTAACTAACAGCTGGTTAAATATAAACTATGGAACTTTGAGGTTATTTTATTTACTCTTATTTTGTCATTGATTATAGGAAATAAGTAAGATTAGTACAGATAATTAGACCACAGTTTAAAACGGTTTAGACCAAAATTAATTAAACCACAGCACAAATCGAGGCTCTGTACACGAGTCTTAATAAAAAAAGGATAAATGCAAATTATTTTACTATTCCACTTTTCGAGAAAAGAATAGAAAAATAACAATGTTTACATGTTTTAATTCTTCATGGTAGCTTTTTGTTTACAATTAATGTTTGTCTGCTTTAACTTTGTTTGGATTAGGCCCGGAAATATTGATGTCATAAAAAGAAGATCAAGAATAATCAGGAATCACGATTTTAAATTACCACCACAACCTCAGCCGAGTTTTATACAAAGATTGAACACAACGTCAACATTGACCTAGGATACTGCAATTAGACAAACCATCCTTTTATGAAATCGTGTTCAGTGTGTTTCCGTTTGGGGGTAGTAGGGAGTATATCTATGGATGGTGGGTGGAACGGAGGAGTCGGAGGAGATGAAAAATTTTGTAATGTAAAAAAAACAGATAAAAATCAATAGTTTGTGTATTTTTTTTTCGTTTTACTATGTGCTTATAAAATACAAAGTAAGCTTTATTATTTTCAAAAATAATGTTCACCAAGTATTACTTATATTAACATATTGTCATCTAGTTGTTAAGAACTGTGTGGATAAAAAGTCTTGTGATATCGAGTGTCGTATGAGAAAGCGTGAAAGCGTAAGCTGGGGAGTTCCACCAAACTATTAGCGGTTAGGGTCTCAGCAGGCACCGTTAAGTGAAACCTGCGTGTGTGTCCGTTAAGCTCAGCTATTTCCCCATCAACCCTTATTTAGACATGTCCCATTTAAAGCATATAACAGAATTTTGTTTAAGTGTACAAATTACAAAAATAAATCAAATGTATTATGATTAAATAAGCATACGGTTAATCTATTGAGAACTAAGATTTACTTGATATAAATTTTCCAGACTTATACTCTAAGAATATGAATAAACGAATTATTTAACACAACTTCATATCTGCTATGGATTACTGAATAAACAAAACAAAAAATAAAAAAAATACATGTTTTACGCTTAGTAACAAAAAGTGATTTAAGTCTATTCTACCTAGATTCTTGATTGGATTAATAAAAGTTTTAGTTTTGAAAAGTACTTATAAGCAAGCTTAAAGGTGTGTAAACTAATGAACTTGTAGTAATTAATTACAGTTTACTGGCATAAGTTTCATTCTTACTTACACCGCAGGATTAAAATCATCCGACTACTTGTCAGTTTATGACAAATTTCTCTTATTGCTTATTATTTAAAGCAACGTAAAGCTAAACGAAACTTACTACTACAAATTGCCAGTCCGTTTTAAGCAATGTGTATATTGAGAATTTTAAAAATATTTTGAAAATTGCAATCTAAATATCGAAAGGTAAACGTACTTTTGTTACACAGATTATAGCTAATCTATTAGATAAGTTTTGATGATTTATGTGTCATTCTAAAACCATATAAGTCTACATATCCCTTTTTGGGAGATGTCAAGTCAGTGTGTGGAATCATAGGTCCTTGGTAAGCCCTCAAAGTTCGATTTAGGTCCGTATACATAATATGGGAGAAAAAACCAAAAACGTGTGAGCCCACGGTTGGAAATAAAACCACAAATTGTTTGCTATTAATCGTATTCTTTTTGTGATATGACTGACTAATATAAATTGTAAGTTGCGAAAACAGTAAAGGAGTACCTAATGAGAAACAAACACTTAGACATTTAAGGACATTATTGGTGTCAAGGTGAATATGTTTAAAATATAGTTGTTTTTAACATTAAGAAGAGTTTGAGGGTGAAAGAGGATGTGTAATATCCTGTCGTGACGTCAACTAACTTTCACCACCTATATAAACACTACCCCTTGACCAGTGTGTCATTGTGTACCGCAACTTTCGCCCTTAGTTGACAACTGCCAGTACGCTTCAACGCCACCACCACCACTCTACGATAGCCCATCAGTATTCGATAAGGTGAGTTCTAATAACAATTAATTACCCTCAATATGCATTACTTACATTTCAATTGGAATTAACGGTAAACAAGTTAGTGTTTATATTTTAAATAACTATTGAAATATATCTTTTCTATAAGTCCTCAGGGGTAACAAACAGTTAAATTATTTGATGATGTAACAGTTCATAAGGTCTGATATCTAGCATATTTAAAGTTACAAAATAATAAGAAGCGAGGGAATAGAGTAGAAATGTTAACTGTAAGAGTAGTGAAGAACATGTCGTATAAATGCTAAAATTATTTTTAAGCTTAATACTATCCACATATTTCTTTTAATTATTTAATCAAGAGTTTAACAAAACTTTGTTGTAAATGATACAAATATTTTTCTCCCAAGATCACTATTTAGACGCATATTTATTTAAAGAATTAAAGTCGAACCATCGCTTGAAATCCAGTTATTCTAATTTTATAGCTACCATATTACTTAAAAAATTAAAAAATGTTTCAGATGGCTTTCATCTGTTCTGTGTGTGGGCTTTCCTTCACAGTCCGAAGAAACATGTTGAGGCATTATAACCTTAAGCATGGGGAAGAAAACGGCTCGTTTGAGTGTGACGAGTGTGGGAAAAACTACCTGACCAAGTTTAACCTGCAAAGACATATGTTGACTCATTCCAATAAGTTTTAGGTAGACATTAGAGCTATTGATACATTGGTTTTATAAGATCGTAAATTTAAATCTTGAAGATAGAATTAGTTAACTGCCTATTCATAAAATTACAGATTCACACGACAACTTTGATTCTTATGAAAAAAAGAAGATTTTTATGATAAACATAACTGTAACAGCTTATAGAAATATTAAGTAGTGTATAGTTTTGTCGTTAATGAGTCTGAGAAAAACCTAGGTGTCAAAAACAAAAAAAATCTGTAAACAGAGTAAACTGCTTTGTATACAATAAATAGTTGTGTGTGTGTGTGTGTGTGTAGGGGTGAGTTAGCATGTTTATATTTATTTAAATATAAATTCAAGTAATATCCTGTTTCCAGAACGCCTGAGGTTGGATGCTTGTGACGAAGCTGTACCTGGTCCGTCATGGCCTGAAACTGTACCATCACAACCCCTAACACAGGGTCCATCCTCTGCTGAGCTGCCAACTGACTCCCGACATCAGAAGGTTGAGCCGCAGCGATTCAAATGTGCCAGCTGCAAAAAAGCTTTTGCTAGCCGTTCTAACCTGACTCGCCATATGAAGGACCATGATTCATCTAGTAAGTACGCTATCTTATTCTTAAACAGTATCTGATAAAGATTCATCACTATAGTAACAAAGGTTTACCTAACAACAAAAATTAAAAAATGTTTAATAAATAATATTTTAATACGATGTCCTATTTATGGAAAGTGATACTAATTAAATAAAAGATTTCCTATGCTTCCTAACAAATGTTGTGCCTTTAACACTTTCACTTAACTCATTCGTCCGTAAAATAGTGTATTGAACGTTAATGGAATTTATACGTAACATTGTAGAAGTTGGGATTGTATGGTATGGGGCAAGTTTGATTCTTGTTATGTTTTGTATAAAAACACCTTTAAAGTTTTGTTATTTTTTAATGTTAATCGTAAAATTGTAGTGTGGATTTGTTATAGAGTGGGTTTTATATTTTTTCTTATCTTTATAAAAGTGCAATGAAAGTTTAAAATGGGTTTCTTTTGTTTTTTTCTTAGATATTTGTGATATTTTAAGCCAAATGGCAAATGATGCGGGTGATTAGAGTTTTCCCAGTTTATTAAAAAAAAGATGTGGGGTTCATCCTTATGACTCAAACATTGAGCATAATTTATACAACAATGTCTTCACTTTTCCAGCCTCTGTAAGCTGTGAACACTGCGCAGCAACCTTCACTCGGAAGTCTAAGCTCATAGAACACATCAACTTCTCCTGCCCCGCCATGAAGGAGAGGAATGCAGCGCAGTCGACTACGTCGCAGCTGCCTACTACCTCCAACGGTGGGGACGATGATGTAGCTGGCTTCAGGGTGACCGAGTCGGCCTTCCAGTCACGGCTTCGAACGTACGAGCTAAAGAAGTCGTTGTACAGCAGTAAGTTCACGATGCAGCTGTTCTTAACTTTTATTTTTGAGCATCTGGTCACCCTGCTGGCTAGGATCCTTGAGATGTATGATAGTGTTAAGATAAATGTATTCATGGAATGTGAATTTGAAAATGTCAAAGGGGAGACATGCTTGCGTAACTTCAAAACTGTGTTCACTCCTCTCCTGCAGGCTACAGATATAGAACAGTTCTGTTCCAACATGTTTGCCAAACTCATCCATGAAAAGGAAGAGTTGGTCATGAAGGGATCAGGCTGGGCTTTTCTGCGAGTCACTAAATTCGAAGTTAGGGTAAATCGTTACGTTCCGCTCAGGGGAGGATCGGGTTACATACCACTACCGAAAAGGTTTAAAGGTGTTGTCAACACCCGAAACCTGGACGATAGATGCTTTTTCTTTGCAATTTTGGCAAAATTTGTGACTAGCAGAGACGCTAGAGATCCTAATAACTACCCGCGAGAATTGGCAGATAAGTACAATTGGCAATGTATCGATTTCCCGGTGAAACTAAAAGATATCCACATCTTCGAAAAAGTTAACAATATTTCTATCAATGTATTTGGTTTGGATAAGGATGGTGCTGTGTATCCGCTGAAAGTGTGTGATGCACCTTTAGAAGATCACAGAGACCTTTTGCTTCTAACCAACAAAGATCAAAAATCGCATTATGTGTATATAAAAGATTTCAATTCATTAGTACATAGCCAGCTGACCAAAGACTGTAGACAAATATTTAGCTGTAAGAAATGTTTCGCATTTTTTCAGGACACTAACAATAAGCTAGGTATTAGTCCACAAGAGAGATTGATTGAGCATGAACGTTACTGTAGCTTTAAGTCACCGTTAAGACTTGACCTTTCTGAAGACCCCACGATCTCCTTCCAACATCCTGAGCGGTCTCAAAAACAGCGTTTTGTGATTTATGCTGATTTTGAGACGTACATGCAACCAAATGATCCACTGTCAGACAACCCCATCACTCATAACCATGTCCCATACTCGTACTGTTACCTCATCAAAGATTCGCAGGAGGTATTCACTGAAATCCGCCGTTACAGAGGTCCCGATGCAGCCAAAGAATTTGTCAAGTCTGTGAGACAAGATGCGCTGCGTATCGGTGATATTCTGTACGGTGACAGGCACATGACCCCACAACTATCCCCTGACCAAGAACGCGCTTTTCAAGCCGCCACTACCTGCCACATCTGCGGCAAAGCTTTCTCGGACAGTGATAAAAAGGTTAGGGATCACATGCACTCCACCCCATACACGTACCGAGGCGCAGCCCACAACTCGTGCAACCTTAAGTTCCACGAGCAAAACACCATCAATGTTTACTTCCATAACCTAAGTGGTTATGATGGTCACTTCATTATACCTGAACTGGACGCTTTCCCAGGTGAAATTTCCGTAATACCCACATCTGAGGAAAAGTACATTAGTTTTACTAAATATCTCCCATTCAAGAAGGCTGTACGAGGTGTACTTAAGCTTCGTTTCCTGGACACATTAAGGTTTCTACCCTGTAGTCTTTCAAAGTTGGCCGAATCCCTTCCAAAAGATTCCCTCAAGGAGACCAGGAAACAGTTCCCTGTAGATGAGCAGTTTGACCTGCTTACTCGAAAGGGTGTTTTCCCATACGATCATGTTACTTCTCTTTCTACCTTAGACGAGCCCCAGTTACCAGAAAAAGTCCAATTTTACAGTAGGCTTTCTCTTGAGCACATCTCAGATTCTGACTACGCTCATGCTCAGAGAGTATGGCGCACGTTTAACATTAGAGACCTCGGTCAATACAGTGATTTGTACATGCTCACTGATGTCCTGCTGCTCACAGACATCTTTGAGAACTTTAGGGAGACAAGCTTGAGAACGCACAAGCTGGACCCTGCCCATTATTTGACCCTTCCAAGCTTCAGTTGGGAGTGCATGTTAAAGCATACAGGCGTTGTCCTGGAGACCCTTCAAGACCATGACATGTACCTCTTCTATGAAAAAAGTATTAGGGGCGGAATTTCGCAAGTTTGTAAGAGACGATCTGTGGCCAACAACAAGCACTGCGAAGGTTATGATCAGTCCTCACCATCGAAGTATATTACATACTTAGATGCAAATAATTTGTATGGATGGTCCATGTCACAAAACCTACCAACAGGTGGCTTCAGTTGGCTTAGCCGTGAAGAAATTGAAAATCTAGATGTGGTGAATGTGCCTGATGATTCAGAAGTCGGCTACTCCTTGGAAGTCGACTTGGAATACCCACCTTCCCTTCATGACGCTCACAGAGACCTACCATTCCTCTGTGAGAGGAAAGCCCCTCCTGGTGGAAAAATGCCCAAACTCCTTACCACCCTTGAAGACAAGACTAACTATATCCTACACTACCGATCCCTGAAACAATCCCTCCAACACGGACTGAAACTGACTAAAATCCATAGGGTAATCAGGTTCAACCAATCTCCCTGGCTTAAGTCGTACATTGAGCTCAACACGGACCTACGTAAACAGGCTAAAAATGATTTTGAGAAAGATTTGTTCAAGTACTTCAATAATTCAATTTTTGGGAAAACCATGGAATCCTATCGAAAAAGGATGGATTTCAGGATTGTGTCTGATGCGAGAAAGTTGGAAAAATGCATTGCAAAGCCTAACTATCTGCACAGTACAATCTTTACAGATTCAATGGCTGGTTGCCACTTTTCAAAAACTAATATTGTGCTTGAAAAGCCTATTTACGTAGGGTCGTCCATCCTAGATTTAAGTAAGGAGCTCATGTACTCGTTTTACTATGACGTTCTAGTTAGGCATTTTGGGGCAGAGAATGTGAAGCTCTTGTACATGGACACAGACTCTTTTGTGTTGGAAATCTTCACAGAGGACCTGTACGAGAGTTTCCGTTCTCTGATGGAGCACTTGGATACGAGTGGGCTGCCCAGGGACAACCCCTCGTACAGCCCCATCAATGCTAAAGTTATCGGCAAGATGAAAGATGAGATGAACGGTATGTTCATTCTCGAATTTCTCGGTGTCCGTACAAAAGTGTACTGTATAGTACCACAGGAGGGCCAATCAATAAAGAAATGTAAAGGTATAACTAGGGCAGTTGTAAAGAACAAACTTAGAGCTGATCATTATAGAAACTGCATACAGGAAAATGACGATTATTATACGATAAACACAACGTTCCGATCGTCAAAACATAAAATTCATACAAGAAGTGAGAACAAGCTCACCCTTAGCGTGTATGATGGGAAGAGACATTTGTCCGCTGATGGGGTAAACACAATACCCCACGGCCACTTCACCATACCGCAGGGTGCAGCTGTTGACGTGGATATCTTTTAGATAAGCATGTCTCCCCGTATTAGTTATAGTTTTTCTAGATTGGATTGGCCCCTCCACAATTATTTCTAGTCTTAACACTCTAGTCACTATGTTAAGAAAATATTTTTATTAATTTGTAAATAGTTGCTTAAACTGTGTATAGTTGTTTAAACAGTAAATATTTGTAAATATTCTGAGCTTTTTACATACAAAATATGTTTTCTTTTCAATTTTTCATGTAGAATATTTGTAACACTTTTAATTTAAACTTTTCTTTTACCATCAACTGTATTCTTTTTGTTTATATTTCAACTGAATTGTTAAAAGAAAATAAATTTTAACTTAATGGAAAAATCATTATCAATTTTGTATTTAATACTGTATGATATTCTACTGTATAATATTCTACTGTGTAATATTCTACTTAATATTGTATGATATAAACTTTGGTTTGGAAAGAATAAAACCTTTTGTTATTTTCAATACATACTTGTTTTTATTTACAATCCTTTATAACAATAGTCAAACAGGTTACACACATGAAAATCATTTTGATTAACATTTGTTGAAAACTGAGATACATAGTCTTGCATTGAATAGCCTTGTGACCTAAAATACAAATATGTTAAACAGTAATGTCCACAAACTGGAGAAAATTCGCCTTGCAGCATATTGTGATTGAAGTGGTACTGCCAACAGTTTCTTCTTATAAAGTTAACATGGTCAGGAACAGTTGGTGGTTGTCCATAGCTGTCAAAGTATTCCAGTCTTTGGTGTTTATCCAGATAAATTGCGATCCAGTGAGTGCCTCTCTTGGTGTGCGGGTCAGTGTTGACTACAAACGCTGTTGAGGGTGTAATCCTAATGGGTAAACAGTCTGATGGGAATACACCAACATTTTGAATTGGTAGCTTCTTTAAACACCACTCTACTTGCAAGGAGTTCATTTTTGTGTAAGCAAATGCCACTTTCTTAAGTTTACACAATTAGACAGTGCACACTTGTGATAACTATCGCGATGATTGTTACATCTTAAACTGTCTGAAGCAAACAAACTGTTGAGCACATCAAGTGACTGAGCGTGTAAACATTCCAAATCAATAACTGTACAACAAAGCGGTAAAATACTTTTAATAAACTCTGCCTTCTCTCTTCCTTTCACGAGCACAAACGTAGTTGAAGTAAGTGAAATCTTTAGTTTTTCCAACAATACATGGTACGGGATGTCACCATCATTCCAGTCAAGGCCATGGTAGTATTTCGTAACCCAATAACTTTCTCTTAGCTTTTCTGCTGTCAACAGCCTGCGGGCAAACGGTGGACAAACAATATGATGAAATAATAAACTTCCCGTGTCTAAATTTATAGCAGCAACTTCCTTGATTATGTAACCTCCATCGTTATTCTTGAAACATTGTATATCCAAAACAACACTATTTTTACGATCCATCTCAGCAGACTGTAGGCGTATTACTGACATACCACAAAACATGGTGTTTGTATTTAACTCCCATAGTCAACAGTTACATTTCTATTTTTGTCAATTTCAATGATGTTGTCAAACTCTGCGTAAACGATACAATTGATGGTTTCAGTTAGAGCTTCGGAGAATCCAAGTTCGATCCTTAAACTACCATGTCGAATGAGGTTCCAGTGAGTGGTGGCGTTAGCTGATAAGTCCGCTGTTAGGTCAAATGCCATCAAACAGTTGCCTTGAGAGTAATCACTGCGAGTAATGCTGTTACCCATGTTTAGAAAGTGTATTCCAGTCCCACTGAACAATGTGTGATAGGCCATAACAGACAATTCCTTATTCTCAGAGTACTCTGGTTGCAGCGGCTTGGAGGGTATCTGGACTCCATCAACGTAGAGTGAGAAGAAGTTCACCTTGTAGGATTGGAAATTAAATGGGTTTGATTTGAAATCACCGTTAAATGCTTTGTTGCTCACTAAACCAACAATTATTCTTTTTGGTAGCTGGCCCAGAAAAACATTGTCCAATGTCTTGCCTTGGATGCCTGAGGGTATGGTCATAGCTTTCACTTCAACTCTTGTTATTGGGTACTTGGCTGTTCCACTTTCCAGGGTCTTGCTGTGAGCCAACAACACTGTAGGATTTATTTTATTTTTACGTATCAAAAGATTTGCTTCAACAATCTTGACTTTGTACTTCTCTGTTTTGGACATTAGGCAGAACGAATCTCTTGATCTCACTAGACGTAAACGCAGTTCCACACCATTAAGTAAAAATTTTTCCTGATTGAATAAATCCACATGCAAATGACCAACCATATCTACAACATTGCTTGACTTTGTAAAATATCTGCGATTTTCCAAACCTGTATTTTTACTTTCACAATCATCCATTTCACCAGACTTGTCATCATACCACAGAGCACAGGATAGATGTGAGTCTTTAGCACTGCTATCATAGTTGAGTAGTGTTTCAATGTACGAACGGTAAGCGTAAGTATTATTTTGTGGTGAAACCAATTTTTGGTTTACATACAAGTCCACTTGACTGAACATTGAGTGTAACCAATTATTTGCTGGACCAACTGATGTATCTACCACTGGGACTGAGGTGTAACGTTGATTTTTCTCCTCTTATAGCCAGACCCCTGCATCACTCTATCAATCTTCTCATCCGCTTTACGTTTCAGATTACTTGTAAATTCCTTGACACCAGCAGATATAGCTTGTTCCGGAGGGACTGAATTAATAACATCTTTCAAAACGTGAAGACTGGATTTAATAGCTTCCTTACCCATAGTCTTTGCTCCAGATCGTAGCAGAGGGGTTATTGTGCGAAATAACCCACCTAGGAAACTGCCAATACCGTGCCCTCTTTGGTATGGGGAACCTTTGTACACAACACTCACACCACCACCTAATTGGTTACGGTAATACACCAAGTAAGGGTCATAAACGTTAAGAGCCATTTCTCTTAGTTGTCAGCTTTCTTTCTAAAATGTAGTTTAACGCAGGACGTTCCAAACTTAAATGGCAGCTTTGCTCCTGTGTTATCCCTTAAATCGATTTCCATACTTTCAAAACTCGACTTTAACACTGACACATAGTGGGGACTGTTAAACTGCATGAATCTGCTACTTCCATACACATAGTCAGCTGTGTCGATATTAATAATTTGCAATAGTGGGGCCATATAATCACCCACAAACTGCGATTCCACAATATCACAATAAATATACATTTGAGAGGGTAATCCTACTCTGAGGTTGGCTGGGCGAATCGATTGGTTATTCTTCAGCAAGTCGTTTTCTCCGGGACTGAAACCAAGTTGCAGAGCTAGCTTGTCCGACAATTCAATCTGTATCACGTGAGACTGGCTGTTGATTTTAACTCTTTTAGTTTTTTCATCATAATTAAAATATGTGTGATCACGAATGACCTCATGTTTGTTGATCATATCTATGACTTCCTTAACATTTATATAATCACCAGGTGTCAATGTTGCAACCACCATCATAGGAGCGATCAAATCATAATTGGGTTCTTCGTCTTTTTCCCAAGCATTGGTCTTGACCCGCTCATATGTGTCTTTTGGGTACGCATGGATGTATATTACACTGTTTTCACTTAGAGTCAACAAAGAGCAGGGGTAGTGAACCTCTACTATTGCCACTTCCCACAACCCGTCCAGCTTTATCGGGCGTGATAGTTGAGTAATGAAGTTTGATACTGTATTTTGTGGATAGTAGCCCATGGAACTGTTACTAGGTAGCGTGAGGTAGAATTGATCATTCATATTGATTGAAGGTCTGAAGCACGCACCCACGAGTTGAAATCGTCACTATAACCGTACCACTTCACTAGGTAAACCTTACTGGGACCTTTTCCTTTGGTGGCTATGATTTTATCTATTTTAAAAATCTTACTGTCATGAAGATTAACTTTTTGCAACTCTTGCTCATAGAAATATCCATCTATTGGTTCATTGTTTAGGTCATGCAATTTATACATTGGTTTGGGAAGCTGAAGGACATTTGTAATTTTGTACACCTCTTCTGACCAATTAGTTTCATAACCTTTTTCAAAAATACCTTTACTTTTTGAAATACGCACAGTATCATTAATTGATAGTTTGGGTTTAACAAATTTTTCCTTTACACCATAGAGGTTTTTCCAGACTCTGAATGAATTGGTCTCATTAACTGCGATTGGTTCCATTTTTATACTTCTATGCTTACTGTGATTATATGAATTCACCAGTGCATCCAAAACATCTACATACCTGTAGGTATTGTTATGTGTTAGATAGCGCCACATGCGAGTTTTCAATGTTCTATTAAATCTTTCAACTACAGCCGCTTTAACATCAGGGTTATTTGTGGTAAAGTAGTTTATATTTTTACTTTTGAAAAATTGCTTTACTTTCTTAGCTGTGAATTCCGTTCCTTTGTCAGACTGTAGGTTCTTGGGATGCTTTTGCGTTTCTGAAAGAATCAAACTAAATGCTCGAATCACTTCTGCAGGGGTTTTTCTTTTTAGCGGTTTTGCATACGCTTGTTTACTGAAAACATCAATAACAGTTAAGATGTAGTTCACATTGTCATTATATTTGCTTAACCCTCTCATATCATTTAAGTCACATTGCCAGAGTTCATTGATTGAATACACGGTATACCTATTTCTGGGAAATCTTTTTCTCGCTGGTTTATGAAGTGTGTATGTATCTTGAGATTGTAACCATTCCTTTACAGTTTTCTTCTTTGCAGACGCTGCTTCCGATAACGGTACAACTCCACAATATCCGGCTGGGTGTGCAGGGTCATAATAGATAGTTGCTAAATCTGTTGACATCTAGTCGAACCTAAAGCTGTCCCACTTTTGCTTTCTATTTCTACGTGCAAATGATGTTGAAAGTGGGGTCGATCTTGAAGGTGTTTCAAATTCTTCTTGTGCACTAAACAATGGTCGCAGTGTACGTGGTGAAAACTTGTACTCTTCTGTTCTACTTGACGTAAGCTTGATACTTTTATCTACTGGTGAAACATAACCTTTGAGTCTTTCATAGTAGGTTCGTGCAAATGGATTGGTTATGAACTCAATAGGTGTACTTATATCCTTTAGAGCATGCATAAACTGTTTCCATCCCTGCGGCTGAGTAGCTTTTCTTGCTCTTATTATATCATGCAACAAGTCAATTATATTGGTGTTTTCCACTACAACTCCATCAATAAAAACTAATCCATTATCATCCCATTCTATCTTATCCTGGGGTTTCCCAATATGTCTTAGTAAATTTTTAACATCAGACTTATATGTTTTAGGGAATGTTTCAACCAACTCATCTGTGTTTAAAGACTTGTGCTTATGGGTTTCCAAATCAATGACAGGTATCTGAACAGGCTTTCGCTTTTGACTCGCAAAATGCAAATACCTTTGTAACACCTGCTGATATTGACTCCATTTATCCTGATCACTAAGACTCTTGTTATTAAGCAGACTCAACATTTCACGATCCAATTCACTAACGGTATCGCTTCTGTTACCTGAACTTTTCACATGGGTTTCGGGGTTGGCTTGCATTCTTTGTAGATCGTCAGGAGAAATAATTATCATTTTCTTTGCGTGTTCCATTATAGGTTTTATTAGTTAAGGAGAGCTTGCAACACTGCACTTAAAAGTATTGGTAGTACAAAACCACCTCCCTGCTGAACAATAAATCGTTTTTTTACTTTTGAACTTTTCACCTTTCTTCACCAATCTTCTTAGCACTGCTTTATATTTAGATAGTTTTCGTTTCACTTGAGGAGTAACACTAACATTACCTTGCAACAGATTGTAAGCACACTCACAGACTGACTGAATCAAGTCCTTGTCAGCTGTTTTTAAAACACTTTTACGTTGTCTGGGAGTCATGAGCGAGATCGCTCGTAACAAGTTAATATTCTTTTTGACCGCTTGAGACATGGCGATAGACTGAAGTAGTAAAACACAAACACTTGACTTATATTCACTTTCCTCTGTTGTTTTTAGGAACATAAACATAATTATTTACGTCACTAGGAAATATGCTTGTTCTGAACCTAATTTCATCAGGTGTTGATTGTTTCATATCAAGTAACAGATAACCATGAGGCGCTTTTGTCGCATCATTGTAGGCATCCTGAATAAATTTTGGGTTTTCTGGATACACTTGCTGAGCTAAATGTCTTATTTGAGCCTTGTCTCTAGGATTCTTAAAACACACTATGTAATGAGCATTTAACGATATATCTCTTTGTCCCCTACCTTGGTGGAATAGGTTCTGTGTTATGAAAAATACACTTATATTTCTATGATGACAACCTTTTGTGAACAAATCAACCACTCTGCTATCTGATTCTCTCATCAAGTCATCAATTATAACTAAGCAAGGTTCAGAACCATCAAAGTCGTTCATATTTGGAACACCTTCTTTGTACACAACACTTTCCAAGTTATAACCTGGTTGCCACTCGGCGTAATGCCAATACACATTTTTAAACACTGTATCACAAATAATACTCATGTATTCAATAAATTTACTAACAAAATGAGACTTTCCACAGCCTGAAGGGCCTGCTATGATTGCTGAAAATGGATGTTTCCACCTTGGATCCATGATTAACACTGGTTCTACTTAAATATAAGCAGTATTTTTAAATATAAATAACTATGGGGAGTAACACAAATAAAAGTAAAATAAGTTGTTATAATGAAAATTTTATTCAGTTACATTATTTTTATATTTTATACAAATTCTATACCCTTTCCACGCCCCAGGTATTGCAGCGACAATCTAGGGGTGTCCTCACTGTTGTAGGCGTTTATCACCTCATCTGGCAGAACTGTCTTGAAGCGGTCCGGTAGGAAGACTCGAAGATAAAAATCATCTCCAATGAGTCCCTCCAACGTTGCTGAGATAGCCTCTCCAAGTCTCGTTGTACAGCGATCGAACTTGACGACTCTGTACAGCATCCCAGTCCTCAGCTCGGACAACCGTGTGTACTGTGGCTGTCTGACGCTGTTTAGCTGCTCCTTCAGGTCCTGCGGATCCATGGTAGATACTCGGGGATTGTTGGAGTGTTGACTCTACGAGCTTGAGTGATTCCTACAATCGCAGGCAGGGGTTTTAAGGGGCTTATTTACCTCCAGGTGGTGAAAGTGAAAGTTTGTTTTCGTCAATTTTAGTACAAATAGATTCGCTCAAGGATAAGTGAAACTTGTGTTCCTCAATAACAAACAACAACTTTCTATTTCAACACTCATAAACATCCTGATATGTCTCAACTACAATATCCGGTTCACTGTTTGGAAATAAAAATATGTTATACTAAATTTGCTTTTCCACTATTACAACTATCAGCAAAAAATGCCTCCTGTAAAAACACTTTTCTAGCTTTCTGTAACACACTATTAATCAAAAGCAAACGTCGCAAGTCTTTACGTTTACGGTTAACACGAGCTTTATTCAAAGACAACATAATCATATCTCTAACACTGGTCTCCATCGCAAAGTAGATACTGATGTATACGGTATG